GGAAATCTCGTCTATCTTGACATGAGTGAGTTATGTAGGTGAACACGTATGTCAAAACACATTAAGCTCTGCATTTAAGATCCTTGTATTTTACTGTATATAAATTATACTTCAATATACTTTAAAAAATAATAATGTCAGAAAGAGTTTGGCTTCTGGCCTTGGTCACTTATTAGCTCTGTGATCTTGAGCAAGTTACTTAAACTCTCTGGACCTCAGTTTCCCCAGCCATCAAATGAAAATGATAATAGCATTCTACTTTATAAGGGTGCTGTGAGTATTGAATGAATGAAGTCATGCAGAGTTCTGGCGTGTGGTAGGCACTCCACAGTGTTGGCCAGTATTTTTCTTCATGAGCAGACTTCTTTATCAATTCCTCTCCCTGCTGATTTATCTCTGCAGCTTCTCTTATATGGGCCTCACATTTCCATTTTTGTCCATCTTAGTGCTGATCCACATTTCCTCTTTTCATTTATTTATTTATTATTGTGCTGTAGATGAAGTTTTACCAAACAAACTAGCTTCTCATTAACCACATTTCCTCTTGAATGAAACTGTTGAGTCCTCTGACCCCAGGTCTCTCCATTTCAAACCCAACCGGACTGATGGCCCCTTGACACAATTCTGATCATGTCCTTTCCACTGTTCACAAACCTCCTGGTGCCCACAAAATAAGGCTCAAACTCCCAAGGGTGACATGCGAAGTCCTTCCTGAGCTGGTCCCAAAATTCTTTCCAGTCTCACTCCTCAGTGACGTTATCATTATTATTATTTTAGAATAAACCTTGTACTTACTGTCACACTTGGCCAACAGCTCCCAAAGCTTGTCCTTACACCAGAACCCAATTGGTAGGCTTGCAGTGGGACCCAGACAGCTGTCCTTTTTAAATTCTTTTTCATTTTAGAAATTGAGGTATAATTTATGATAGTAAAAGCCACAGGTCTTAACTGTATATTTTGATTAGCTTTGACAAATGTGTAACCCACTCACCTATCAACACGTGTCATGGCTTTAACTGTGTCTCCCCAAAATATCTTGTCAACTTGGTTGGGTCATGATTCCAAGTATTGTATGATTGTGTACTATTTTGTAATCTGATGTGATTTCCTTACGTGTTATAAACTCTATCACTATGACATAATAAGATGGATTAGTGGCAGTTATACTGATGAGGTCTACAAGATTAGATAGTATCTTAAGCCAATCTCTTTTGAGATATAAAAGAGAAAAGAGAGCAGAGACAAAGGGACATCATATCATCAAGAAAGCAGTGCTGGGAGCAGAGCGAGTCTTTTGGACCTTGAGGTTCTTGCACTGAGATACTCCCAGACCAAAGGGAAGACTGATGACAAGGACCTTCTTCCAGAGCGAACAGAGAAGAGAAAGCCCTCACCTGGAGCTGACACCCTGAATTTGGACTTGTAGCCTACTGGACTGTGAGAGAATGAATTTCTCTTTGTTAAGGCCATCCACTTGCGGTATCTCTGTTACAGCAGCACTAGATGACTAAGACAACGTGAGAGAACGTTTCATAGCCAGAAAGCTCCCTCATGGCCAGTGGTGTGCTGGTAAAAGTTTGACAGCTGGCTCCCTGAGGGGGAAAAAAGCTCTGATTTATAGCATTTGCCGATCTCTCTGGTGCAAATATTCCCATATGGCCAATTTTAAGCTATCAGCCTGATGTCTCTGAAAGCAGAGTTGGAAAGAGGCTCACAATCAACTCGGGAACTGGTATAAGACAGCTTCAGCACACCACTGCCATACCTTCTCCCAACCAATCTCTGCCACCCCCATCCCCAGGCAACCACTGATCTGCTTTCTGTCACCATAGATTAGTTTCGCTTGTTCTTGTTTGATATTAATGCAATCATACAATATGTACTCTTTTGTGTCTAGTTCTTTCGATCAGCATGGTTTGGAGATTCATTCATGTTGTTGCCTGTATCAGTAGTTCATTCCTTTTTATTGCTGAGTAGTACTTCGTTGTATGGGTATACCAGTTACCGGTATCATTTGCCATTGAGTTGAATCTGATTTGTGATGACCCCACGTGTAAAAGAACAAGACATTGTCTGATCCTGCACCATTTTCATGATCATTGGGATATTTGAGTCCATTGTTGTGGACACTGAGTTAATGCCTCACATCGAGGATCTCCCTTGCCTTTGCTGGCCCTCTGCTTTGCCAAATGTGTTGTCCCTCTCCAGTGATCAGTCCCTCCCAATGAGGCATCCAAAGCAAGCGAGTTGAAGTCTCAGACAAAATTCTGTAATCCGTAGGGTTTTCATTGGCTAGTTTTCTGATAAGATTACCAGGCCTTTCTTTCTAGTCTGTTTTAGTCTGGAGGCTCTTCTGAAACCTATCCACCACGGGCAACCCTGCTGGCATTTGAAATACCAGTGGCATAGCTTCCAGTTTCATAGCAACACACAAGCCACCACAGTGCGACAAACTGACAGCCGGGTGGTAGTTAATCAATCAAGTAAAATAAACCCATTGCCAGTGAGTTGATTCTGACTCATAACAGCAACAGAGGCTGCCATTTATTATTTTTTTCAAATCCCACCTATCTTCCATCCTCAGCTCAAATTCCACCACTTCCATCAAGTTTTTTCTGACTCCTCCCCCCTCTCCTCTCTGTCTCAAGGTAGCCCCTCTCATAGGTCCCCCAGAAATGTATGAGACATTTGAGTTCTTGTATTTTTATACTGTCTTATCATCCTCATTATATCTGTAAGGTCACTGAAAACAAGGTTATGCTTTGTTGATCATTCTATTACTGGCACATTTGTTGACCTGAATTTAATGTTTTTCTAAATGTGCTATAGACACAATCACCAAAGTCCTTTAAAAGAAGCTATCTCCTCAGGGATGACGTGAGGGAATCACAGAAATTGGATAGCCTTTTCCCCAGCTATTGAGTGGAAATGGATGAGCTGTCTTGAGGCGTCCTAATGTTTGCCATATACCTTGGATTTTACTTGGATCCTCAATCAACGTCCATGGAAGCAGTAGACAAGATATCAAATGATACATTGCATTGGGCAAATCTGCTGCGAAAGACCTCTTTAAAGTGTTAAAAAGCCAAGATGTCACTTTGAGGACTAAGGTGCGCCTGACCCAAGCCACGGTATTTTCAATTGCCTCATATGTATGTGAAAGCGGGACAATGAATAAAGAAGACTGAAGAATTGATGCCTTTGAATTATGGTGTTGGCAAAGAATACTGAATATACCATGGACCGCCAGAAGAACTAACAAGTCTGTCTTGGTAGGAGTACAGCCAGAGTGCTCCTTGGAGGTGCAGATGGCGAGATTTTGTGTCATGTACTTTGGATATGTTATCAGGAGGGACCAGTCCCTGGAAAAGGACGTCATGCTTGGTAAGGTAGAGGGTCAGTGAAAAAGAGGAAGATCCTCCACAAGTTGGATTGACACAGTGGGTGCACCAATGGGCTCAAACATTAGCAAAGATTATGAGGCTGGCGCAGGACTGGGCAGTTTTGTTCTATTGTACATAGGGTGGCTATGAGTCAACTCGACGGCACCTAACAACGACGTTTGTCACTGTAGGCCAGAGGAAACCATGTTACGTGGCATACTTAACTTCCCAGTGAAGCTGTTATCTCCTGCCTGGCTGTCCCCTCTAAGGCCTCTGGTTGTTTTATCTGGCCTTGCCCCATTGGTCAGCTTCTAACTACTAGCAAGATCAGACCATAATCATCTTTCTTTTCCATCTTGATATATAAAAGGAACTGGCTCCATACTTTGTGGGACCCAGTGCAAAATGAAAATGCAGGGCTCTTGTTCAAGTTTATTCGGAATTCCAAGGCTGTGGTAACAGAGCACGAAACCAAGTGTGGGGCCCTGTACAACTGCATAGGCTCCATTCGTGAAGCTGGCCATGATGAAAAGGGACAGAGCCCTCCTCAGCAGACAAAAACCAACCAAGAAAGCTGAGCTTGAGGGCAATTTATCTCCAAAGCTGTCTCCCCTCTTCTTAACATAAAGACAGCTGAGAAAGAAAGCACCTCATGTTCTGTTTATATTAAGGCCACCAGGCTCCTTCTGCACCCCTGTCCTTACCAAGCCAAGCCTTGGTTCCCTCACACACCTGAAAAAACAAATGTCCCAGCAGGGTTGGAACAAGGATGGGGGCAGTGCAATGTCAGTTTTGTAAGACTTTTTTTCCTACAGAGGGGAGGAGGGAGTGCCTATGACAGAGAGGCCTTTGTGGTCACATTTTAGGAAACCTCTCTCCCAGTCTCAGTCCCAATTGAAAGGAACAGTGCGTGGGTATCCTTTTCGAGAGTCTCCCAGTGTAAGCTGGACTGTGGTCTGCTTGCCATTCATAATAAGGATGATGTCCCACACTTGAGGGTGTAACGTTCAAGACCAAGAGGCCACAGATCAATTGACAACAGCCGTTTGGATGTCTTCATCCTCTTGTCCAAGAGCCCAGACCACTAAGTCAGCGCAACTTTTTCCGTGCCCTTCTAATGCACATCCAGGGCACACTGCAGGCTGGGCTCGCCGATATGGTCCACCTAGCTGTTCTTTGAGCTGACTGACTGTGAGACCTCAGGTCCTGGGGCCACTGGGAGAACGGAAAAGGGGCTTTGGCCTTAGTGCCTGGGGTCAAAAAGGGTGGGGGTGCTGCTTTGTGAGGAAACAATCTGTAGAGACCGTGAGCCTGGAGGTCGGGTGGGATGGCTCTTCCTAAGGCACCTCAGGCAACCACAGGTACAAAGCTCTTGAGTCTACTCAGGACGGAACCACCCCCCACGAGGCGCAGCGAACCCAAACATGGCCGCCGAACCCCGGCTCCCAGGATGCAGCCGCGACTCGGGCTGACGCAACCGCGACCGGTTGCCTCAGCCCACGCCCACGTACTCAGCCCGGCCTCCGCCGCCCCAATCCGGGCGTCGATTGGGCCACGTTAGGCCGGGGCCTCTGCCTCAGCCAATGGGCGGCAGCCACAGTGGGTTCTGGCCGCAGAGCCCGGACGCGGCTTGCCTATAAAAGGTGCCCGAGGCGGGGGCGCGCGCCCCGAAGACGTGCACTGCCGTCGTTGGGGTTGCTGGGGTCTGCGGCGCGGCGTGTGTGCCATCTCTGAGCGCAGCGGAGCTTACAGCGCAGCCGACATGGAGCCCGAGCCCCAGCCTGAGCTTGAGCAGGTCACGCTCCTGGTGAAGAGCCCCAACCAGCGCCACCGCGACTTGGAGCTGAGCTGCGAACGCAGCTGGAGCGTGGGCCACCTCAAGGCCCATCTGAGCCGCGTCTACCCCGAGCGCCCGGTGAGAGGAGCCCCCAACTCCCGCTCCAGGCTGCCATCCCCCGAGCCCTCCTTCTAGGGATGTCCCGTCCGCATCCGCTTTCCGGTAGCCTCCTCCTTAGCTGGCCTTGCTCGGGCGGCAGTTACTCGCCTGGTCGCCTCCCCAAGGCTGTGGCTTCGTTCCCTGCCCAACAGTACCATAGGCGCCCCTCTCTTTGCCCAGTGGCTGTCGCTTCCTCTCGCTAGCCGCCATCACCCCGCCTTCCTGGTGGGCTGCCGTCTCCTGTCCCCTCGCTTCCCCACTTCCCCAAACCCGCAGACGCTTCACAGCCCTGCCCCACCTCCTAGGTCTCTTCCCCTTCGGCCCAGGTCAGGGTTCCACGCTTAGCCAAACCACTGAAACAGTAGTTTGACCTTGGGTGAGTCATTTCACCCTCCAGGCCTCAGTGTCCCCAAACGGCAGGGCGACTAGGTGTCTCTATAGGATTGCATACAATGGATAGAAACAAAATAACAAATGCTGTGAAATGAATTGTACGAATGTGATGGCTCAGTGCAGAGAGGAGGGTGCAGGTGCCACCCTGGGCCAGTGGCTAGAGCGCCAGGCACAGCGTCCTTAAAGTCCCACACCCAGGCAGAAGACGTGGCTCTTCCTCTCCCGGTCCACTTTCCGCCATCGGCCCCTCCCTTTCGCGCTGGCCTCTCCAGCCTTTGCTTAGTTCGAGGGAGGAGCCAGGCGCACTTTATGGTAAACAGTGACTTCGTGGGGAAACAGGCTGAAGGAGGCTCCTTCTTGAGTCCTTGAGTTTTAGGACTTCGGCCCCTCAATTACGGAGACTTCCTTGCTTTGTTTTGGTTGACACGTCTGTCAACATCATCCTTAGCGCCGCCCTGCCTCCGCGCTACGTGGTGGAGGGATTGTGCTCTGGACCTTACTGTATTTACTTTCTGCTCGGATATTATGTAAGTGTCAGCAGTGTTCTGTGCTGCCCACATTTGTAATTCTGGATCAAACAGGAAAGGGCACCAGGACAGGGAAAGATTGTGAAATTGTTAATCCTTATCTAGAGGGTTCTGGTATGTGGTAGGTAGCTCCTGTGTTAGGTTGGTTTTGTTGTCAAGGGTGTAAAAACGCATTTTACTTCTGAGTTGTTATTTTGAGATTTACTTATTTATTTAAATAAGTTTTCTATCCCGGTGCAGTTTAGAATTCACTCTGGCACTATTTGCAGTTTTACCATAACTGTTTCCAAGAAGCTAAGTGGCTGTTTGGTTGTGAGAATGGCTATTAGGTACACAAATTGGGGAAGCAGGTGTAATTTCTGATTGCATCAGATGGTAAAAGGCAGTGTTGGGGAGGAGAATTTTCCTTGAAGACTTCCGTGGGTTAGGAACATCACTCATAATAGGTGGGTCTGAAGACCCAAAGTTCTGAATAAAACATCTGCTCAGCTCTACAAATTTATGTTTAAAAGTTATGATGCCTGGAGCACAATTTCATTTGTTTTTTGTAGTATAAGATGGTAAATGTGAGAAGCCTTATTTTAGAACAGTTGTTTAAGATACGTATTTTTTTTCAGATCAGTCTCCTGGGTAAAGACACAGTGTCAAGTCAGGCCTTTAAAAGGGAAAACAATTCAGACCCACAGGCAGCTGTTACTACTGAGTGCTATGGTTTTCAAACAGTTCTAGTGGCAGAAATCTTCAGTATAATGCAGGGCCCCACATATCTAATAGTATTTTACAAATTCATATGTATAGCATTTACTTCTAAAGTCAGCCAGTGGGGACAGTGGTGAACATAGCATCCAATATATTTTTACATTTTGTTTTAGTTGCACGGTGTCAAAAATCCTGATTTATGCCGATAAGTAGATACAGTTTTTGTTATTGTCTTTTGTTGGTTTTAAACAACGTGCTTTACAGTCTCGGGCTAGTTAGCAGGAATAGCTTTATTCCAAGTTTTCCATCATCGGTTATTCTGGCAAGAGTAGGTTGACAGGTTGGTGAGTTCCAGTGTACTGTGGTATATATCATTGGGGTCATTATTTTTAAAAGTACGGTTTTAAAAGAAGTAAAAAATACATGAAAAGTCTATTTTAAAAGTGAATTTTGTATAAAAGTGTTTTAGAGTCCTTATGGTTTTAAAATCCCTGGTATGGAGGAGTAGAGGGGTTGGGATCTTGACTCTTGTTGTAGGTGACCTTGAACAAGTCAGTTTCTCAGAGTTTCTTCCATTAAAATAGGGATACTAACTCTCACAGAGTTGTGTGAATTGTTACCCCGCTCTCCATCTCCTCTATAACTGCATTTGTATGTGGGGAAAAGCCTTTGAAGGCTTAAGTTTCGAATTGCTTCTTGTTATTTTAAGGCAATCCTTGGTGATTTTGGTGAAGACTGACCTTGAGAGAACTTTGTTTTCTCTGAAACAAGCCAAGTTTTGAAGTTAGTTGCTGCTGTAGGAGGGCCGAATAAAATTTATGTTTTCTATAGCAGAAAGCAGTTTCCCTGGGGGTTAGGTCAAATAGTTGCCTTACGTTTTGTGGACCAGAGATAATTTGCTATCCTAAATTTATTCATATGTTATTGATCAGTTTAAAGTTAAGCACTTTCTAAATAAAAAGTTTTGTGTATGAGGCCTTTGAAAAAAATGTTTGCCTATGGAGGAAAACACACATATTCAGGTTATTTATGTAAAACAATTCTTTCTGTGTTTGGGAGCTTGTTGGGGCTGAATGTTGATCTGTGTTACTCTTTTCTTTTCCGTGATAAGCATCCAGAGGACCAGAGATTAATTTATTCTGGGAAGCTGTTGTTGGATCACCAATGTCTCAGGGACTTACTTCCAAAGGTATATCACTTCCACATTAACTTCTGAATGTTTTAAGCACTTACCAGATTGAATTCGGGTCCTAAAGTACCTCCTTAATACTTTCAGCAGGAAAAACGGCATGTTTTGCATCTGGTGTGCAATGTGAAGATGCCTTCAAAAACGCCCGAAACCAGTGCAAAGGTAGGTCTTCTTTTTCATGACGGTAACAATCTTGTCATTCAGACTCTCAAGGGAGAAATAAAGAAGGTTGGATAAAATTCTTTAAGAGAGATTTTACTGTATTCTTACCGGCTGACATTTTTTTCTTCCCCAGCAAGTATCAGGAATTAGAATATGTGTTATCAATGCAAGTGAGAGGTTACTATAATAGTAGCAGGCTATTCCATGAGTGTTGTAGTGGAAAAACAGTTATGCATCACCCTATCTTCTGGGATATGATCTGCCCTACAACAACTGTGTACCCAGATCACTCAACAAGCAAGGCACACAACAACAAAGACTTATTTATGTTTGACTGTCCAAATCACTTATTTTTTTGTTTCATAATGATTATTTGTATACTGTGTAGTATTAATATTTTAACAAGGTGATGTACTCTAAATTGGTGTTACAGTTGCAATTTCCTAAAACATCTGAATATAGCATAGGAAATTCTCTTTTCTTTAGGTTGCTGTTAAGCTGAATTAGTAAATTTAGCGTCTATAAGATGTATAGAGCGTTATCAAGCTTTCTTACCAATGATAACTTCATTGGAAGACTTTAACGAAACTATAGTGTAGTTACTTTAAGGAAAAAATACAGATTTTTTTTTTCAGTATCCGTCTGTTGAAAATTGGATTGAACAAATTTCAGAACATTTTTTACATAACATTACACCTATTTAATTTTGTCAGGTTCAGAGGTTTGGGGCCGGGGACATAAGCCATTCATAGCAAAATAAGCCTTTTAGTTTGATTTCACCCAGTTGCATCAGATCCTTTGTTCTGATGTTCGTATTATACTTATTTAGGTTGCTGAATCCACAGAGCAGCCCACTGGTCTTAATCAGGGACAGTATCCTGGGGATTCCTCAAGTGATGGTTTAAGGCAAAGGGAGGTTCTTCGAAACCTTTCTCCTTCTGGATGGGAGAACATCTCTAGGTGAGTAGTATCATAAAGAACTAATTTATACAACAGGAACATGTGACATTTGTATCAATTTAAGAATAAGATGTGTTTATACACGTATAGTCGCAGAACATTGAAACACACAAATCTTTGCTTTATAAAGGGCTTCACTTACGTATTTAATTTTTCTTTATGCACAGCCTTTTCAGAACATATAAAAAAGTGAGAGACTGAGTATTGAAAATGTAGTCCCTCCGTTGTGGGTGTGTTTGCGTTGTGCTGACTGCTCGATTGCCCTCATGATAGGGAAGTCATGCTGCTACAGGGAAAAAGCGGTTGTCAGCAGCCCGCAGCTGCTTTGCTGAGTGGCTTTGTGCTTTGTTTATTGTAACAATGGGTGACAAAAGGTGAAGAGACCGTTTAAGGAGTGCTCTGCCAAGTGCTGTGTTGGCGATACAAGGAAAGAAGGCCATTTCTTTAGAGCAATGTGAGCTTTTCTTTAGAGCAAAAGCCAGAAGTGACTAAATGTTCTGACATTTGAATTTGATAGCCCTTGGAACACCTTATTAGGAAAGTTCCTTTGGGAAAAAATAATTTGTTAACTGAGTTGAAATTCTGGAACTCTCCTACTCCCCTCCCCATAGTAGTTTTCTACTAGTTTTTAATACTCATATTTTGAGAAAGCCGGCTGTTCGAGGAATTTTCTTTTTCTTAATGAAAATAACAAGAAAATTCCTCAAACATCTGGCTTTCTCAAAACATGAGTATTAAAAACACAGAAGTGGAGGGAACTGTGTAACATCATCATACCCAGGCCCAGTAAATGATCAAGGCTGTGTCATACCTGCTCCATCTATTACCCACTTCCCCGTTTGTGTAAAGTATTTAGAAGTAATTCCCAGGCATCGTGTTGTCTCACCCCTGCATATTTCAGTATACAACTGTAAAAACACTTTAGTTATTCTGCATATCTGCAATGCCATCATCATCAGATCTAACAAAATTAATGAAAGCTCTTTAGTATCATCCCATTTCCATGCACTGTAACTTTTTTAAATGATCAAAAATAGAATCAGACCAAGACCTGTTGGTATTAGAATACTATTTTAGAAATACTCGGGGTATGGGGTTTGGTTAAAAGACTGTCAGCATATAAATTGGATAATTTGGATATTCTGGTTGTGTAACTTGAGAGTTACCTGACTCTGAAGTTCACCATATTAAAGCCAGGTGACTTCATCCAACAGTTGAATAGCCAGTACATAGAGCTTTCCTTAAAGATAGAAGTTGACCTGCACGGATGATCACATAACCAGCCCCAGATCTGCCTGTGAGCCTGTGATAATTTCAGTGTCGTGAAGTGCTACCAGAGGAGCTCACTGTATAAGAAGCACAGAGCCAAAGATGACCCCCACACCCCGGCCGTGGCAGTTTAAGGCTGTGTTGCCTGACAGAGGTGTGAGTTTGGCACCAAACAAACCAGGTCTTAAATCCAACCCTGTCACTAACTAGCTCGGTGACCTTGTGCCAATCTCTTGTCTTCCCTAAGCTCTACTCGGGCTCCCCCTCTGTATAGTGGGGGTGAGATCCCCCTCCCCCACAGGGCTGTTTGGGGTCTAGTGAGAACATGCTGAAGGTGCCTGGCCCAGCAGCCTGTACAGGACACCACGTGGTCAGCAAGCACATACAGGTGATACCTCATGCACACATAACAGTCTCCAGTAATCAGATCCAGGGCCGGAGGAGGGGGAGAGTTCTCTCAGGAAAGGCTTTGGGAGAAGGGGCTTTTGAGCGGCTTTCTAAAGGATGAGCAGTGCATTTGGACCTGCAGTGAGACTCAGCAAGGAAAAAAATGAGGCAGGGATCCACTGAACCTGAAAAGGTCTAGCTTATTTCATCTGTGCACAAAATAAGCCGCAGTCCCTGCAGTCGCTAGCACGATGAGAACCCAGTGCTGGGCGAGGGGCTCTTGTTTTCCTGTGGGCTCTGCATGGTGGTAGGAGGGCTTCACCGGCCAGCGCTTTCTGTGCCTGTGTTACACGGGTGCGCCATCCAGTCGTCTGCCATGAAGCTCTCGTAAAGCCCATTCTTCCATCTTAACAGTGGACCCCTGACATCCCATTTGAAATTTCTTCTGTCTTTTTGACTTGAATCCCCAGTTGTAATTTAGACTTAATTCTCCATTATTCATACTAAACCAGCTCAAAATGATTGTTTTTCAAAATCTTTCATAGGCCTGAAGCTGCCCAGCAGACGTTCCAAGGCCTGGGGCCTGGTTTCACGGGCTACACAACTTACGGGTGGCTGCAGCTCTCCTGGTTCCAGCAGATATATGCCCGGCAGTACTACATGCAGTAGTGAGTGTGGGTGTGGCCAGGGCTCCTGGGAGTTGAGGGCAGTCCCGTCCATGTCACCTGTGAAGTGAAGAATGGAGGGATGAGGGTATTTTCATCCGTTTTTACAGAGGCCTGCTCTGTCCACTTCTGTGGCTGGCGGAGAGTATAAGTGGCAACTGCTATCTCGTTTGTGAATTGTGTTTGTGTCTGACACATAGTCTGATGAATTTATTTAGAAAATATTACTTCTTTTTCAATTTTCATGGTTTTGTGAAAATTTTAATTTGCTAATGCACCATGCTTTCATAGTGACCGTGATGTTTAATTCCAGAGGAAATGTATTGTGTGGCCTCTCTCTGGAGCAGAAGAGGCATTTCTGGATATGACTGTTAGCAAAGAAGTTATTCACTAAAGAAAAATCAAGTGTGCACGCACCTACTTATGATTCTAAAAGACCCCTGCATAAGTAAAGTTACGAGAGCACTGTCTTTACAGTGCTTTGTTCCCAACATTTTCTGTCTGTCGTTTTTATTTAGTTTAGCGGCCACTGCTGCCTCGGGGCCTGTTGTCCCCCCACCAAGTGCACAAGAGATACCTGTGGTCACTGCACCAGCTCCAGCCCCAATTCCCAACCAGTTTCCAGCTGAAAACCAGCCAGCCAATCAGAATGCTGCTCCTCAAGTGGTGGTCAATCCCGGAGCCAATCAGAATTTGCGGATGAATGCACAAGGTGGCCCGATTGTGGAGGAAGATGACGAGATAAACCGAGATTGGTTGGACTGGACCTATTCAGCAGCTACGTTCTCCGTTTTCCTCAGTGTCCTCTACTTCTACTCCTCCCTGAGCAGATTCCTCATGGTCATGGGGGCCACCATTGTTATGTACCTGTAAGCAGATGATTTCCCTTTACTACAGTTACGCTGTATGGTCAGACCTAGTACATGTTTTGCTCCCCTTTGAGCAGTCTTGGTCATTATCTAAGAGATGGGTTTAAAGAGTATGTCAGTCTGGCACTTCCAATACAAAGGATTCAGGGCTTGGTTGTGTATTCAAGAACACTTAATCACGTATTAATACAAGAAGAACATTCTCTTTTCCTCCAGTAAGGCACCTTCCAGGCTCATGCACTACAATAATGTAGCCATACTGAGGCATGGTAAGGAAAATTGTGTTCGTATGTTTGTCTTTATCAGGCTACGGCTGCCTTCCCAGGTAAAGACCAGGCACTGATCCGTTGGCAGCCCTGAGGGGCTAGGGAACCCTTACAGACCTGATGCTTGGCTTATCTGTGGCCTGGTGCAGTGGTTCTCAACCAGGGTGATTCCCCCCGCGCCCCCGGCCCCTGGAACATTGGACAACATCTGGAGACATTTTTGGTGGTCACAACTGAAAGGGTGCTACTGGCATCTAGTGGGTAGAGGCTAGAGATGCTGCTATGCGTGCAATGCCCAGGACAGCCTCCACAATAATTATTCAGCCTGAAATGTCAGTACTGCCGAAGCTAAGAAACCCTGCAGCGCCTAGAGTGAGGGGTCCTTGTTTGTAGTTGACACTGAAAGAGATTTTTCCTTTATGGTAACTATGGGTTTTTATTTTAGTTTTTAAAAATCTTAGAAAAATTTAGAGTAATGTAGCATTCATATATCTGGAATTGATCAATGTTAGTATCTTGTCATATTTGCTTCAAGACTTGGATTTAATCGGATTTTCCAAATAAAACTTTTAGTTCATTCGATAATCTGTAGAGTCATATAGTTAGATGACCAAATTTAGATCTTTATGGGTTGTAATGTGTTCTGATCATAGCTTAGTTTGTGTGTATGTGTGTGTGTGTATGTACGTATTTTTCCCCCTCTGTTGAGGTTTTCAAGTGAAGGTTTAGTTCAGATAAGTATTTATCGAGCACCTACTGTGTGCCAGGTGCCTCTTAAGTTACCGGGTATACAGGGCACATCCCTGACTTCAAGGACCTTACGATCCTGTGAGAAAGTCTAGGAGACAGTGTGATAGAGTGGCCCTGCAGATGGGTCTTGCTGTGAGTGTCTAATTGGGGTGTTGCTATGACTAGAGGAAAGAGAGGGGGACCTTATTTAACTGAGAAGGGCGCTTAAATTTTTGAGTAAGTCTCACTGTGATGTTAGCTAAGATGGACTTTTATGTGCTTCCTTTGAAGGCATCACGTTGGGTGGTTTCCATTTAGACAGAGGCCAGTTCAGAACTTCCCAGATGATGGTCTTCCTTACGAAGCTGTAAATCAGGACCCGAACAATAACCTGCAGGTATGGCACCTCGATGGAGCCCAGGCGAGCCTGACATGAACCCCAGGCTCCCAAATCCTTAACCTTTAGGTTTCCAGCCTCGTGGTTTACCATTTTATTAGGCTAAATATCTCTTTTTTTTTTTTTTTTTTCGAATTTATTCTTAGAGCAGCAGTTATTTGAAGAACATTGAATGTGCCATAAAATCCATAATATATTTTTATCATGTGACAGTTTGCATTTTGGTGCATGTAAATGTTTTTAAATTGTTTTGAATGCTGAATGGTCTGGGACAACAACATGTTCTACTGTGGAAACTGCTAGTGGGTAGTTACTCTACCTAAGGAGTACCTGGAGAAGCATGTCTCATTTACAGAATAGGTTTCCTAGAAAATAATAGGCAGACATCGAATTTCTATAAGGCAGATTAATGCATGATCCTGAAGGAAATTCTCTTATAATATAAATTGTCACCCTAGTACCTGTTTTTAGAATCCTGGGTTTCCCTTTGTGGGGTTCTTAACTCAGAACACTGCCAAAATTAGAGGAATATCCGTATGTAATGAGTGGTTAACTTATCAGTTTAATAATAGTTGAAGATCTAGTTACTTGGTCTGCTTTCTTACTTGCTGCTTGCAATGTTCAAAACCAGGGAAACGTCACCAGCACAGCTGTGGAGGCCTCGGGCAGAGCCCACCCAGCCTAGGACATCGCTCCCTGGGGTCCCGCCTGCCTGGCCACTTTGCATATGGGGCAGGGGCCAAGGAGTTACTTTGCCCTCTCCTAATACATTATCTGGGCTCGTCACGACGCTGATTGTTTTCTTCTCGTGTTTATTAACTGTAGGAAGATGGCTCTGATCCTGAAACAGAAGACCCCAGCCACCTCGCTCCAGACAGGGGCGTACTCGAAGAGCAGACCAGTCCCTCATTTAGGAGCACAGCATGGCTTGTCTTCAAGACTTTCTTTGCCTCTCTTCTTCCAGAAGGCCCCCCAGCCATAGCAAACTGATGGCGTTTGTTCTCTGGCTGCTTAGCTTCTTCGACAGGCATGGACTGGATCTTCTGACTCCAGTTTGATTTCCTCACCTGGACGTGGCAATGACACAAAATTGTTAAAAAGAACCAACAAGAATTATATGCTTTTGTGATGGAGCAAAAGCAGAAAGTATGACATGAAGCCATGATACAAATTGATGAACAAAAAATGCACAAGGCTTCTCATGTCTTTCTTCTGAAGAGCTTTAATATATACTGTATGTAGTTTAATAGTCACTGTAAGTAGAAGGCATTAGTGTCGCATGTTTATGCCTGAGGAACTTTTCCAGATATGTGTGTCTGCACGTGTTTTTGTACATAGATGTCATAGATGCAGAAACGGTTCTGCTGGTATGATTTGATTCCTGTTGGAATGTTTAAATTACACTAAGTGTACTACTTTATATAATCAAATGAAATTGCTAGACATGTTTTAGCAGGACTTTTCTAGGAAAGACTTATGTATAATTGTCTTTTAAAACGCAGTGCTTTACTTTAAACCAAGGGGATCTTGGCAGAGGTGAAAGCCTTTGCTGGTTTTCTGTTCAATAAAGTTTTACTATGAATGACCCTGGTGGAGACTCCTGTCATCTCAGCAATTTACTCTGTCCATTGTCACTGGTTGCTGATGTTTAACTGACTTGAATTTTGCATCTTTTTATTAAAAGGACTGTTTGTACCATTGGAGAATGATGAGGTGAGGCCATGAAGTTTCAATTTACTAAGAATATACCTGTGTTTGCCCCCATTACCTGATTTAAACAGTACTGGCTTATGTTGTAACCCATCAAATTTCAATTCCCCAAATTTAAAGTCAGTGGCATTAAGTACCTTCGACCTTGGCGATTTTTGCAGCAGTTTCACCTGCTCAAATGTCATGCTTTCATAAGCTGAGCTTTTGTGATTTTAATCCTTTTTTGAAGTATGAGCTTTGAGACTTCAGTCATAAAAGCAAAGCTCTGTATTTTTCGTATGTATAATGTTAAGAGGTAGAATGCTAAAAGTCTGGTCAGTGTTGTTTTTGACAAAGTGAATCAGCTTTTTGTATCATGGTTGTGACCATTTAAATTAATCCTCCCTGGAAACATCATTTACATCACATAAACATTCACTGAGCAATTCATAGCTAGATGCTGGGTAGATACAAAGGTGTTTTATGTATGGTTTTACTTTAACAAGCCAACTAAGATAACCATGTAAAGAGTGAAATGGCAAAAAACGTCAGATAACGGCGTGCCTTCAGAGCAGAGGCACTATCAGAAGGCAGTATTTGGTTGAAGGAAGCAACGTCTTGAGTGTTGAGAGAGTTTTACGGATGAGGAAGTGGGTCTGAAATGATGGGAAAAGTCTGATGAGATGGCGAGAAGGGACCCAGCAAGAGCAAAAGCAGAGATGGCCTTGCCCCTGCCTGCCAAAGGCTGGTTTCTTTGTATGCTTGGTAATTATGTCTTAGTGATTTATGAAAGTGATCGCTAGGAAGTCATATGAAGGCCTTTTAAAAGTCTTGGGTAGAAAAGACTCATTTCTCAGAGGATAGGCCTCACCTTCTTGTGAGGAGCCTGAAGCCCGAGCAGCTGGCAGTGCCAATCTCCTGCTTCTGAATGAGCAAAGCTGCTCCTCCTGTGGTGTCAGGTTGTGATGACTAAGCTCCGAATTCCACGGGACCAAAATAGTTCAAGGAAGGTGCTCCTGAGGGAGGTTGACAAGGGTGCAGATTGGCTCAAGCCCCACTAGGGCAAACAGGAGCCATCAGACCACAGGAAAAGGGTAAAGATGGCTGGCTGGTGGGGGCATGTGGCAGAAATATAAATGCTCCTACAAGAGTTACTAAACGTAGTGTAATAATGTACACATCACCATGATTAACACTTAAGGAAATTATTGGTTTGGGTCCTCAGTATTATGTAGCAATTAAATAGCTAAAAAAATAAATGAACAACAAATAAGAAAACCTCCCAAATTTCAACTCGGGTCATAGCAGCTTCATAAGTTTGCATTTACCAAGGTGTATGTTCTTGAATGCTAGTTCTATGGTAGAGACACCCCAAAAAATGAGCTCCATGGTCAAGTAAATTTTAGAAACCTCAGATTGAACCAAGTTCATAGGTTTCTTTACTGCCTGACTTCTGGGGCCTTTAATGTGCTGATGTGCCTAAAGGGAGCCATGTGGTCTGCAGCCTCTCAGAGAATGCTTCTAGGTCTGATCCTTGGGCTGTGTTTTGAGAAAAGCAGGTATAAGTTAAACTTAACACTTCATTTGGTATCCTAAGTAGCAAACAGATACTTGGTTAGAAGTGGCATCTTAAGTAATCAGCAATGGAGGTAAATAATCTTTACATGGCCAGGAGGGACATGGAAGCCACATGTGGACTAGAGTGCGACCATCTGTCTGACAAGTGCCATCTGAGGCTTAGAAATCTCAGGTTTTATCTAACAATCACTTGATTTTCAAAGGCCTCTGTCTTAGAAGCTAGCCCTGTGGGTTAGCTCTTCTTATTTTATTTTTTTTAATATGAAATTTTTTTTTTGTATTTTAGATGAATGTTTACAGAACAAATAGTTTCTCATTAAACAGTACACATATTGTTTTATGACAACAGTTAACCCCACGACATGTTAACGCTGTCCCTTCTTGACCTTGGGTTCCCTATTATCAGCTTTCCTGTCCCCTACTGCCTTCTAGTCCTTGTCCCTGGACTGTTGTGTCCCATTAATCTCATTTTGTTTTATGGGGCTGTCTAATCTTTGGCTGAAGGGTGAACCTTGGGAGTGACTTCATTACTGAGCCAAAAGGGTGTCTGGGCGCCATACTCTCAGGGTTTCTGCAGTCTCTGTCAGGCCAGTAAGTCTGGTCTTTTTCTTTTGTGAGTTAGAATTTTGTTCTACATTTTTCTCCAGCTGTGTCCAGGACCCTCTGTTGTGATCCCGGTCAGAGCAGTCAGTGGTGGTAGCCGGGCACCATCTAGTTGTACTGGACTCAGTCTGATGGAGGCCATGGTAGTTGTGGTCCATTAGTCCTTTGGACTAATCTTTTCCTTGTATCTTGTTTTCTTCATTCTCCCTTGCTCCCAAAGGGGTGAGACCAGTGGAGTATCTTAGATGGCTGCTTACAGGCTTTTAAGACCCCAGACGCTACTCACCAAGGTAGAATGTAGAACACTTTCTTTATAAATTGCCTTATGCCAATTGTAGCTCTTCTTATTTTATAGAGGCTCAGAGAAAAGCTGACTTGTCCAAGGCCACAGATCTATAAGGAGGAGAGTTGAAACTAGAAATACTGCTCCCTTAGTGGGCCTTTTCCATTGCATTCATTCATTCAATAATTTCTGAGGACTCATCATGTGCCAGACATTGTGTTAGGGCCAGGGGACATCATGGTGAGTGGGCTGAACCTTGTCCCTGCACTGCCCTCTGTGATCTCAGAGTCTGGGGGAGGTGAGTAAAACCAATGCTGGACAAGTGTGATGGCTCCCGGGAAGGGAGGGAAGAAGGGCTGCCTAAGCAGAGACTGCAGAGTGAGCAGGAGTCAGCCAGGTGGAGAAGAGGGATGAGAACACAGCCTTTGCAAAGGCCTGGAGCTGAGAGAGACATGACATGGAAGGACCTGAAGAGCATTCCACGTAGACTATAAAGGAGGCGTAAGAAGACTGAGACGGAGAAGTGGTGTGTGTGTGTGTGTGTGTGTGTGTGTGTGTGCGCGCGCGCGCGTGCGTGCAGACCCCCAGTCCCTCGGTCCTTGTACACGAAGCCGTGATTGGAGACTGAGCACAAATTCAGGGGAGCTGGTGAACGTCACCCAGTCAGGCCCAGGAGTCCGCCAGGTGCTTCCCTTCCCTGTCTTAACTGGGAGAAAACATCAGGCCAAGATGAGGAGATTGTGGATCAGTCTGCTTATTCCTTAACTAGGTTCTAGACCCCCAAGGACAGGAAAAGTAGTTTACTGGATGGCCTTTGAGTTGGGTACAGAACGTGGTCATGGTAGCCTGCTTGCTTCAGTTAGAGCAAGGGCAGGGGCAGGAAAGCCTAAACTGGGGCAGTGACTCTCCAGACAGGCATCAGATGAGAGGCAATGAGAGGAGGGACTGCACAACTAAAGCTCAGTGGGTTCAGGGGTTCCCAAGACCACCCTTGGGCTCAACGATTCGCTAGATGGACTTACAGAGCTCAGAAAGGCTGTTATACTCACCAAAAAAAACAAGCCAAACTCATTGCCATTGAGTCAACTCCAGCTCATGGTGACTCTGTCAGGCAGAGTAGAACTACCCCATAGGGTTTCCAAAACTGTAATGTTTACAGAAGCAGACTGCCACATCTTTGTCCTGTGGAGCAGTTGGGGTTGGAACTGCCAACCTTTCAGTTAGCAGCCAAGCACTTAACCACTGCACCACCAGGGCTCGCTGTGTTATACTCACCAGTTAAAAAAAATCTTACAGTTGATTACAGTGAAAGGATACAGAATAAAATCAGCAACAGGAAAAGTTGCATAGAACAGGGTCCAGGAGCCACCAGATTCAAGCTTCCTGTTGTCCTCTCTCAGTGGAGTCATGAGGACAGCACTCAATTCTCCCACCAATGATGTGTGACAATATACACAGAGTAGTGCCAGCCAAGGAAGCTCACCCAAGCCATGCTGTCCAGGGTTTGTACTGGTGGTCAGTAACATGGGCATGGCTGACTGCTGCCTGGCTGACCTTTAGTCTCCAGCCCTCCAGAGGTCAAGTTAATATCATGTGGCCCAAGACTCCCACCATAAATCACATTGTTAGCATAACTATCTGGCATGACCCAAGAACCCCAGGTAAACAAAGATACTTATCAAGCAGGATGTTCCAAGGGCTGAGGGTTACCTCCCAAGAGGTAGGCAAGAGCCAGCCTTTCTATGGAATGTGCAGAGTGTGCAACAACCCAGACTTGCTGAGTCAATCCTTTACTGCACACCCAACCATGCCAGATCCAAAAGTCATGACTCGGGTGGTGACAACTGAAATCTAGAGAGCAAGTCACAAACACACAGCTTATTGTGGGTGCAAATGTCTTCCCCACTCCTGCGGAAGCTCCTCCACTGTGAGGACCATGTCCATCTTGCTCATTTTTGGATGCCAGCTGCATGGCAGGTGTTGTTGTTAGGTGCCATCTAGTCGGTTCTGACTCATAGCGACCCTATAGGACAGAGCAGAACCAAGGAGCGGCTGGTGGATTCAAAGTGCTGATCTTTTGATTAGCAGCTGAGCTCTTAACTACTACACCACCAGGGCTGCAGGCCCTCAATTTGTTGGATAAGTGAATGAGCCCATTGTGGAAAAGAAAAGAGGGCTTTGTTGGTTGTTTTTCCCTTCCTAATGAAGAGAGAAGGAGCCCTGGTGGTGCAGTGGTTAAGTGCTCAGCTGCCAACCAAAAGGTTGGCGGTTCAAACCCACCAGCCACTCTGTGGGCGAAAGATATGGCAGTCTGCTTCTTTACAGCCTTGAAACCCTAAAGAGCAGTTCTATTCTGTCCTATAGGGTCACTCTAAGTCAGAATTGACTCGATGGCAGTAGGCAATGTAAATGGGTAATGGACAGGGGGCAAGCATGGGATGCGGCAGAGGAGTAGAGGGAGAATGGGATAGTGTAATGTGGGGGGAAAGTTGGGGATCCATGTGCCCATGGGCAAGCCCCTTCCTAGCTGTCGGCCTTGCTTCCCTGTTCGATAAAGGAGGAGTTTAGTCTAGATAAGCATTCCCCAAAGTATATTTGGTGGGGT